ATTTGTGTTTTTGGGGTACCCAATTTTGGCCCCCCAATTCCATTGAATCTTGTTTCGGGACGGCCACAGAAATGGCCTCCATAGGTTCCAAAAATGGGGCTGTGTGGCAGGCCCATTTTTGGTGCCACATTTTGCGAACAATTTGGCTTGATTATGACAAGCGCGGCGCAAACGAAAAGAAAGAAATCCGACCCCCGAAAATTGAAACTAGGGAGGCCCAAATGAACGCGACCAAAATATGAGCTGTTTTGAAGGGCTAGAAATGGGCCTCAACTTGGAGGTACTGAGGCGTGAGGTGGACGCGCCGTAAAGGCGGATTGGCAGCAGCAGCAATTTTCAACACTTGTGTCTTTTTGGGTTCTGCTGTAGAATACTGTGCGCAGGAATGTCCATGCAGACCGCAAAGTCAAAGATGTTGGGGGAGAACCAGCGCAAAAAATTGTGGTACGGCGCCCACGCCCTTCACAGGCCACCCTAAAGCCCTAAGACCTTTACTATTGGGTGACACGTTTTCATTGCTAAGAATCCGGGTGAAATTTGAAGCTATTCTCATCGCTTTATTATTTCCCTGAACCTCTTTTTGTTTCCCAGAGTTCTTGACCCTGAACGTCTTTTTGTTTCCGGGGTTGAGGTCTTCCTAAAGCAATGTTTTTGAGAGAGGTAACATTAAACCAGGAAGCTGTTCATAATTAGCAACTTTTGGAACTCATGGGAGTGTACGGGGCCACCCCGTTTGGGAAGCTGCAATGTTTTTGAGAGAGGTAGCATTAAACCAGGAAGCTGTTCATAATTAGCCACTTTTGGAACTCATGGGAGTGTACGGGGCCACCCCGTTTGGGAAGCTATGGGTGTACAACGCTATCGGGCATAGAGAAACCCTCTTCTCCCGCTCGTTAATAACTTTGTAAGTCCCAAACGGGGTGGCCCACGGTCCTTCCGCCCGCTAATAGTATTCTGATGGCACCGTGTTCCACGTTGGTTGTCCTCCCGCCCGCTAATAATATTCTGATGGCATTGTGTTCGACTGTCGTCGTCCCTCCGCCCGCTAATAGTATTCTGATTGCATTGTGTTCCACTTGGGTGGTCCTCCCGCCCGCTAATAGTATTCTGATGGCACTGTGTTCCACGTTGGTGGTCCTCCCGCCCGCTAATAGTATTCTGATGACTGGTGTTGGCATTGCGCGCCCGCCAATAGTATTCTGATGGCACTGTGTTCGGCTTTCGCGGTCCTCCCGCCCGCTAATAGTATTCTGATGATTGGTGTCGGCATTGCGCGCCCGCCAAAAGTATTCCGATGGCACTGTGTTCGACTTTGGTGGTCCTCCTGCCCGCTAGAGTCAAAGAGTTCGCCGAAAACTGTAATTACTTACGTAAGTGACTGAGAGACAGCAAGCAACCCTTCTTAGCACCACTTATAAGGTAGGTTACAGCACTTAGTAAGTAGGTTGTATAAGTGCTCTAACCTTGCTATGTACTTATACCCCCCCCGGCCCTCCAAGTGAGGTGTGAGAAGTGGAGCTGTGATGAGTTGTGATGAGAAGTGGAATTGTGAGAAGTGGAGCTGTGATCAGTTGTGGTGTGATGAGTTGTGGGATGAAGCGGCGCGGCGGGAACAGGAGCGGCGGGATCCAAGCGAAAAACAAGAACCCCACACAGTGATGTGGGGAACAACAACAACAGCAACAACAACAACAACAACAACAACATCCACACATACCTTTCATTTCCCTGCTGCTGGACTCCTTTTTGTGCCGTGAGCGGCCTGGATCCTTCAAAAAGGGGCCCGGCGCCACATCAGCTCAGACCTTCACCTTTTTCCTGGTGCTGGACCCCTTTTTGTGCCGTGAGCGGCCTGGATCCTCCAAAAAGGGGCGCCGCAACCTGACCTCAAACTAGCTTCCATGTCGACTTTTTCGGTGGCCTTGTTACACACAGAGGCTGTACCTGTGTCAGCTCTCTCTGTTCCTTGCTGTCTGCTTGTGGCCGTTGCTTTCTGTGTGGCAGATCCTGTCTGGATATACCTTCTTTGTTCCACAATTTGCAGAGCATTCCCTGTATGCCAGGGACGCCTAGCTCAGTCGGTAGAGCGCAAGGCCCTGGTCCACAGGGACTTTTACGCCAGTGAGGCTCTTGCGCCAATCTTGCGGCTGCTTGCCTTGCCGCACAGCGAAGTACTTCTTGTTCTCTCTTGCTCCTTCTCATTTAGAGGCTGTACCTATGTTATCTCTCTTCATTCTTGGCTCGTGCTCATGTCTCTCTCTTTGTGCCGGTTGTTGTGCTGATATACTCCCGTTGCTGATCCGCCCGCTGACCAGAGCCTTTATGCTTGGCCCGCCTCTCTTGCGCCAGTGGAGTGCATGGGCTTGAACTTGACTTCCGCTTTTGTGATGGGAAACTGGATTGCTTCTTTTGCTGATCTGCTTCTCCTTGTCTACCGCTGGACTCCTTTTTGTGCCGTGACCGACCTGGATCCTCCAAAAAGGGGACCACCGCTGCTTCAGCTCAGACGTTCACCTTTTTCCTGGTGCTGGACACCTTTTTGTGCCGTGAGCGGCCTGGATCCTCCAAAACGGGGCCGTCCGCCGCGCAGCTCAGAGCTTGACCTTTTTTTCCTTGTGCTAGACCCCTTTTGTGCCGTGAGCGTTTTGGATCCTTCAAACAGGGGCCCAGCGCCACATCAGCTCAGACCTTAACCTTTTTTCTGCTGCTGGACCCCTTTTTGTGTCGTGAGCGGCTTGGATCCTTCGAAAAGGGGCCCAGCGCCACATCAGCTCAGACCTTCACCTTTTTCCCGGTGCTGGACCCCTTTTTGTGCCACACAGAAAGCAACGGCCACAAGCAGACAGCAAGGAACAGAGAGAGCTGACACAGGTACAGCCTCTGCGTGTGGCCGTTGCTACTCAAAGGGTCAACCCGGAGGCAAGTTTGAAGTTCTATTGGTGTGGGCCCCTTTGTGGAGGATCCCGGCCGCTCACGGCACATAAAGGGGTCCAGCACCAGGAAAAAGGTGAACCTCTGAGCTGAAGCGGCGGTGGCCCCCTTTTTGGAGGATCCAGGCCGGTCACGGCACAAAAAGGAGTCCAGCGGTAGACAAGGAGAAGCAGATCAGCAAAAGAAGCAATCCAGTTTCCCATCACAAAAGCGGAAGTCAAGTTCAAGCCCATGCACTCCACTGGCGCAAGAAAGGCGGGCCAAGCATAAAGGCTCTGGTCAGCGGGCGGATCAGCAACGGGAGTATATCAGCACAACAACCGGCACAAAGAGAGAGACATGAGCACGAGCCAAGAATGAAGAGAGATAACATAGGTACAGCCTCTAAAGGAGAAGGAGCAAGAGAGAACAAGAAGTACTTCGCTGTGCGGCAAGGCAAGCAGCCGCAAGATTGGCGCAAGAGCCTCACTGGCGTAAAAGTCCCTGTGGACCAGGGCCTTGCGCTCTACCGACTGAGCTAGGCGTCCCTGGCATACAGGGAATGCTCTGCAAATTGTGGAACAAAGAAGGTATATCCAGACAGGATCTGCCACACAGAAAGCAACGGCCACAAGCAGACAGCAAGGAACAGAGAGAGCTGACACAGGTACAGCCTCTGTGTGTAACAAGGCCACCGAAAAAGTCGACATGGAAGCTAGTTTGAGGTCAGGTTGCGGCGCCCCTTTTTGGAGTATCCAGGCCGCTCACGGCACAAAAAGGTGTCCAAGCAGCACGAAAAGGTGCAAATCTGAAGTCAGGCGCCGCTGGACCCCTTTTTGGAGGATCCAGAACGATGACAACACAAAAAGGGGTCCAGCAGCTAGAAAATGAAAAGTTGGAACTAAAGGCTGCCAGACCCTTTTGCCAGATTTGGGCTGCGGGAGCCCCGAAAAGGGGTCCAGCAACCTGAAAAATCACAATGATCCAAAGCGAGCCTGCTGGACCCCTTTTTGCAAGATTTCGGCTGCTGAAAGGTCCAAAAGGGGCCCAGAAGGCTTTTACATAATTGAAAAAAGGAAAAAATCCATGGATGTATTTAAGGGACACCAAACAAATTCCAAAATAAGTTCGGATACCTTATTCTGAGGGCCCCAGTCTTTGTTTGTACCGACAACAACAACAACCACCAGAGCAACAACAACAGCAGCAGCAGCAGCAACAAGAACAAGAACAACAACAAAAACACAAACACAAACACAAACACAAACAAAAACAAAAACAAAAACAACAACAACAACAACAACAACAGCAACAGCAACAGCAACAGCAACAGCAACAGCAACAGCAACAGCAACAGCAACAGCAACAGCAACAGCAACAGCACCACCACCACCACCACCACCAGCACCAACACCAACACCAACACCAACAACAACAACAACACCACCACCACCACCAACACCAACACCAACAACACCAACACCAACACCAACACCAACAACAACAACAACAACAACAAACAACAAACAACAAACAACAAACAACACCAACACCAACAAACAACAAACAACAAACAACAAACAACAAACAACAAACAACAAACAACAAACAACAAACAAACAACAAACAACAAACAACAAACAACAAACAACAACAACAACAACAACCACAACCACAACCACAACCACAACCACAACCAACAACCAACAACCAACAACCAACAACCAACAACCAACAACCAGCAAACAGCAAACAACAAACAACAAACAACAAACAACAAACAACAAACAACAAACAACAACTAACAACTAACAACTAACAACTAACAACTAACAACTACAACTACGCATAAATATTCAATTGACAGATTTTGTTTGGCAAGGCGCCTTCTTGCCCTTGGACATCCACGAGCTCTCTGCCGGTGAACTCGCAGTCAAGATGAGGATCAGTTAGGTGCATTTGCTGCCACGTTCTTTTGCTGGTTGCTGCTTCCATTCTGCTGCTGCCACTGCGGGCTACCAGGGCTCCTGCTTCGTGTCGTACCAGTGCGTGGATGATGAGTGAGAAGAAACCAGCAGCGAGTGGTTGAAATGGGCAGTGGCCTAGAGCAGCCCACTTGGTTGAACTCGACCATTACGGGCAGGGACGATGTGGATCTCTCCCTTCACGTGGCGAGAGCTGCTCACTGAAAAGCGGCCTGATGAGGCCGCTGCTTTCCTTCACGTTGTACCATGCTGGGTTTTGTGCCGACGCTGCGTTCATTTTTTTTGTTCCCGAGTGGTGCCTCGAAGGCTGATTCCACCACCGCCATCCACATTGAGATTTCATCTTGGGGCGTGATGGGGTGGGTGAACTCCATGTGTATGGTGGCTGATGGTGCTAAGGGCACGCAGGAGGCTTGCTGTCGGCATTGGCCCTTGGTCCTGAGCAGCCGCTGGATGGGAACGCTGGTAGCTCCACTCATTCAGCCCACAACCATTGCCATCAAGGGCTCCAAACAATGCAACGCGCAGGCCGTGCAGGGTTCCGAACAACGCGTCTAACAACATAGACTGCCAGTTTCAATGTTTGGTCCGAAGCTGTTATTGATGGTTTTTGTGTGAAGCATTCAGAATTTGCTAGTGCAACCCTTGGCAGCATTTCTTGGAAGGCGTTCTTCGCATCCAAAAGGGTTTATGCTTTGGTGGCTGAAAGGCTGGAACGCACGGGACCATTCAGTGATGGTTTGTTGATAATCAGGCAGAGGCGTTGAAAACGCATCGGAAGTAGGGGAGGAAACTCAGTCCAAACACATACAACATTTTCAGTTACTGTATGTTGCAGTTTATTTGCTGCTTCTTCTTGAGCTGAGCGGTCTTGCCTTCGGAATTAGGCGAAGGAGGCGCTCAACGCAGCAGTTCCTTTGTCCGCACAGCGGTTGAATTTGACATCATGAGCCGATGTCCCCCATGACGTTTGTGCAAATGTTGACATGCTGCCCTTTGAATTTCGCGTTGATCTGCCAACGGCCGGGAATTGCGCTTGCAATTTAGAGGCCGAAGTGCTTCAACGTTGTCTTTCGACAGATGATTGCGTTTAACCTATGGAACAATTTTGAATCATGGACTTGTCATGATGATTTGAATTTGCTCCGTCCCTGGCATTGGAAGCGTTGATTGATACTGGTGGATACCAGACCAACAAGATTCGACAATAGAACAAACCCCTGTTTCGGATGCAATTTGAGAAAACAAATGTAGATGGTGAAAATTCAATATGACCACAGGGCTCAAGATGTCCTCGAAACCTTGTCATGTGCCATGCACATGTATGTTGGCTCATGGAGTTAAAATGTTTGTGTTTGCGGTGTGTTCTTCTGCCTTGCTTTGTTGCCTTCTTGTGTTCCAAGCAGCAGGCATGGAATTCATAGTTCAGATAAGTGTTGCGCTGCAAATTTCATGTTCAAAACAGGACGATATGGCAGCAGTGCGACATATGACTCATATGACTACATATTTTGGCATTGAACGTATATTCTTTTGTGCACCTCAAATGAAACAAATGACCCGTATGAATTTGGCAGAACCTTACCGGTCACCATTCTCAGTTGTTGGTGGACGCAGTTCGTTTTGTGATCACCACCAATGCAAAAAACACACGCACAACATTTGCCGTGTCTTCCGCGACGTGAGCACACCGGCATGGAAAAAAACATTAAGAATCGAACATATTCTAACATCCACAAAGGTTTTCGGCAGTGTAACGATTTGTGGCATTTACACATGTGTTTCTTCAAACATACAGTTTTGCCCCATATTTCATCACAACGCGTGACACTGGTTTTGATCTCACGAAACTTCGTTGATTAGTTTGTGCTGCGGATGGGCGTTTTCACATTGGAAATTGTTCTGCAGAATCTTGAGGCTCCGTGCAGAAAATGCTGTGGTTCATCAGGAATAAATGGGTCCACTCAGTTAGTTTTTTTGAGTCATGAAACCATGTTCATGTTGGACACCTAAAAATAAACCTCCAATTTCGGAAGGTTTATACCGCGTTTTTCGGGCTGAAATTGGGGACATATTCATATCATTCATATCTACAAAGTCGCCTCCGCTTTGACATATTTTGTGCATGAACACTCGAGGGGTTACCCAAAAAATGTCAAATTTTGTGTCCAACATTTTGACCCTCAAAAACCCAAATAATTGCAACCGTGGGTCCGACACATGCGTTTCTGTGCCATGCGTTTCAAGGTGAAAAAAAACAGAAAAAAATGTTGTGTCAGCATGGCTTATTTTTTCAACATGATTTGGACCTGTACAACCCAGGTCCGTCAGGTCCGTCCCTGATTCCTTACTAAGTCAGGTGAGGATCGACTTTGTGATGCTGGAAAACTCTGACTTGTATTCAATGAGTTACAACATACCATCTTCAATCCAATAAGACAACATATGTGCAACGCTTGAAAGTTGGATTACATTGAGGGTAGCCAACCCTAATTTTTTTGGGACGTATGAATTGATATATGCCCATTGTAAGGATTGCCACTATGAGATGGACGACCATACCACCATTCCTGTTGCATCACCACAATGGATTGATCAAGATGATATCCTCAGTAGATTGCTGTGAATATACCGATATTGCTTGAATATGATAGTAAAACTATTGTGTGGTATAACTATAGATACTATAGATATAGAGATATAGATATACATAGATATAGATAGATATAGGTAGATATAGGTAGATCTAGATAGATATAGATAGATATAGATATAGATAGATGTAGATAGATGTAGATAGATCTAGATAGATATAGATAGATCTAGATAAATATAGATAGATATAGATATAGATAGATATGGATATGGATAGATAGGTAGGTAGGTAGATAGATAGGTAGGTAGGTAGATAGATAGATAGGTAGGTAAGTAGATAGATACATAGATATACATGTGATATTTCTTTTTTGACATCCCCCAGATCTCCAGTCATTGGTCATGTCACCAGGGTCCAAAGACGGTGGGAAGATGGTGCCGACCCTGGTGGGAAGGGTCGCAACGGAATCCATGGGACTTTACGGTGCCGAAACAAAAAGGGGGTTACCCTCTGGCAAACATACAAAAAGCTATTGAAAATGGCCATTTATAGTGGATTTACTCATTAAAAATGGTGGTTTTCCATAGTTATGTTAGTTTACCAGAGGGTACTATTAACAACGGAATAGTATTAATAGGTGATAATAGATTAATATTATAGGAAATAGGATTAATATTAATATCAAGGGACTTTAACAACGGAATAGCATTAGTAGGTAATAATGGAGTACTAATAATAGACAATTAGGATTAGTAATTATCATAATTGTTACTATTATTGGATAATACTTGAAATAATCATGGATCGGGATTATAATAGGGACAGTAAGAGGATTTACCGTTCATTCTGGTGCTTGAATGGTGCTTGAATCGATTTTAAATGGAAAATCAAGTATAATTGGGGTTTAAACTACAACAATAATGCTTATTAAATGGTCATTAATGGTTAACCATAGTTCATAATCGTTTTTACTGGATAATAATGGTTAGTAATGGATAATTTTTCGGATAATACTTGGTATCATAAGAGAATTTGCCCTCCGGCACGCAAAGGTGGCGATAGAAAATCCCATGCAAATGCAGGATTTCATGGCCAAATCAACAACAAAATAGGAGAGGGGCCATTGCCTTTTTTGATTACTGGAGGGTAAACCTGAAAACACTTGCTTGTGCCCGTCCATTCTTAGCCAAGTGTCACAAACTGGTTCCTCAGGTGTTCCAAACTGGGACTAGCAGTCAAAATGACGAGTCATTCTGTGGTTCCAGGAGCTATCAGTTTGTCAGTGGCCAATTCTCTTGTTGTGTTTTCCAGCAAAAACTCCACTGTTTTGTCATTGCCAATCTAGCTGGTCATATACATCCAAGGTTTCCGGCGAAGTCCAAGCCCAATGTGTGCTGCTTAAATCCCCTCATTTTGGCTGATTCAAGCCCAATTTTTCTCAGTTAACCTCTGGTAAACTAACATAGCTATTGAAAATGGCCATTTATAGTGGATTTACCCATTAAAAATAGTGATTTTCCATAGCAAACTGTTAGTTTACCAGAGGGTAACCCCCAATTGTTCCTGGTGACATCCCCATTTTACATCATTTCGCCTGGTAAAGATCGCCATTTCAAACATCTGTCCTGGCCCTTCGGTGGCGAGCAGCACATTTTCAGGTCTTCCAAAGGGGAGAAGAAGACCTTGGCGCTACGTCTCTCCAACCTGGCTCCTGTGCTTCTGGAGGTGAGAACATCGGAAAACATGTGGGCGGAGACCTGCAAAATTGGGAGTAGAGATTACTATCATAGATGTCCCAAATTCCCATTGGTTGGTTGATTAATAGAGGGGTTTGAAGAAACCCCTTTAACGACAGGTAAATGATGATAGATGGTATACCAAACCGGCCCCTCTATTTTTACCAAAAGGACATTATTGATTACTATACCCAGTTTGAAATTTGTTCATGAAATTTATAACCCATTACCCATGCATCTAACTGGGCATATTTCATTTATCTAGCTGGGGTATTCCATTTATCCCCCTAATATTAAACACTCCATAAAGGGTCCCAGACATATGTGATTTAGTCCCTTACTCAGTCAGTATAAACGGGGGCCGAAGGGATTATACCCAGTTAGAAAATGTTTGAAAGTTGTTGATAACCCATTTCCCATTCATTTAATTGGGGATATTCCATGAAGTTAGTTGTAGTATTTCATATGATTATTACAACTTTTTACTTGGCTGTTCACCCCTTAAATCGTAAATGGGTTGTACCCCAGTTACTCCGGTAGGGTAAGTAGGGGCAATGTCCAGTTATAACCCAGTGACTAACTGGGGTGAGCCAGCAAGTACTATACCTCAAACTTGACCCGGAGAATCAAGGTTTATATACTGTAGGGGAAAGTAGTCTTCCAAACCCGTCTTTGGCAATTTCGTCATGTTAGGTAGGGGGATGGTAAATTGAGCACTGTTGTAGTAGGAGTACCAACCCCAATTTGGCTGCATGAAGAATCAATTTCGATTGTTTTTTTGATACACCTTGAGTAATTATTCCTCACAACTCACAAGTCCAGGCGATATCGATCCAGTCAACCATCACACATGGGAATATTAGCCAACCAGAGCTTGGGATGTGATATAGCTTGAAGATTTGGGTTACCAACTAAGCTGCCAGTGGATAGCAAAGGCTACTGTTGCGGGCTCCTTTCCAACGCCAGTTGTGCGCCCACTGCTTGAACTTGTCCCATACCAAAGCGGCAGCCTTTTAGACATGGAACCCAGCAAAGTTGCCATGGCACTCCATTGCCCCCATGTTTTTTCGTTGGAAGGTCTACCCTCTGGTACAGGTAACATAGCTACAGCTATGGAAAATGGCCGGTGAAGACGATCATTCGTTATAAAACATGGTGGTTTTGCAGTTTCCATTCCCAGATCTCCACATTGCAGAGAAATCTGCTCTGATTCGCTCCGATTGTGCTGTTGAGGCGTCCCTTTCCGGGGAGTTTCATGGCCGGGGGAAGGTGCGAATTCCATCTGGGTTGATCCTTTGAAACGGGGAGAAACATCACCAAAATCCATAGACTTAGGCGGCATTTGAACAATTCCGATGATAACATGGTAACCTAACATACACTTATCAACTTCCAAATCAGTATGAGTTCGGCATTTGGTTTGAGGATTCATACTTTTTCTTTTTTTAAACGATGGTTGATTAATGCTTTTGTGTGGTTTTTTTTTGAACAAAATAATAGGAGTATGAGGTATGAATCCTCAAAGATATGGATTTGAACCAGCAGCTGGGACAAACCTGCTCGATGGTAAACATAGGGTGTCATACCAGGGGATTTAGAGTAACGGAGAGTGCGAACAAATTTGCGGTGAGAACCAAAGATAGCAACCAGTAGGCGCTGGCTCTGCGGCCCAAACCTAATACCATCTGGTTATGACTAACAGTTTGCCATGGAAAGATCCACCCATTTTTCATAGGTAAACCATCTATTTCTATGGGCCATCTATACCATGGCTATGTAACAAATAACCAGAGGGTAGATTTGCTGTAGGTCCATCGAAGGAAATCTGAAGATCCTTTCAAGGTTAAACTCCCAGATCATTTTCAATGGGAATTTCAGGATCCGATTGATTAGAGGTACCAATCCCATATATAAGGCCTATTTGTTAGGGCTAAATTTCAGGGAATATCCCCAGAAAATATGGCATTTGGTCAGTGTTTGAGAATATGGTTTGGTCTGAAAATAAGGTACCCCCAATTCCAATAGATTCAGCCTTGCTAAACATTGGGGGTTGATCCAACATTTTCAGTTACACACGTCATTTTTGAAGCATAGGAGATGCTAAACGACTCTTGGGAAATTGCTGGCATTCAACATTCTACTTGGTGGCGAACTACCACGGCTCGTAAGTGGGTTATAACCCCAGTGATTTGCATGGGATTTTTGTAGGGTTAATCCACTTATAACTGGGGTGAACTAACCCACTTACGATTCGTGGGTAGTTCGCCACCAAGTAGAAAATTTCCTGCCCCAAATGCTGGGTAGCTTCTGAATTGGTTTCTGGTTTCTGCTTCTGGACATGAGGAGAAACCGACGAGAAACCGATGTCGAGACATCGGTCTTCTTGATTTTTTTGGAACGCATATATATATATATATACATAAATATATATACATAAATATATATACATAAATATATATACATATATATATATATATGCACATATATATATATATACATATATATATATATGTATATATATATATATTGCGCAAATTGGGAACAACAGAATGGGATGGGCCAGGGCCCCAAAAATGATACGGTGGCAGTGTAACCACGTTCGTTCTATATATGCCGCTCTCCAAAAATGGTTAGTCCATTCCCGGGGTCTGGTTAAGAATCTTCGAAACCTGTCTTTCGACTGTTTCCAGCTGTTCATTCGGGTTTATCCAAAAACAGGGTGTACCCTAATCCATAGCCACCCATCCAAGGGTGTTACTTTTATGTTATGCACTCATGCCCATTAAACATCATTAAGCCATAAAACCATACTGTACTAATTCACAGATGAATTCACCATTCAATGGATTGGTTTAAGGGAACAATGAAACCGGAAACACTGCTATTTCATAGGAAAATCTATGGTTTCCGGTTAAGATTTTCCCTTAAGCATCTTAAGCCAATCCATTGAAGCGTAGAATCCCAATGAATCCACCAGTTTCTTCGGAAGGCGCTAGTCTTCGACTTGCCTGCAGAGCTGCAAAGTGGAGAAGCGCCCTTGCCGTTACTCGGTGGAAGACATCCGCTCGGGGATCCCTGAGAAGAGGACCATCTGCTTACCCTCTGGTAAACTAACATAACTATGGAAAATCACCGTTTTTAATGGGAAAATCCACTATTAATGGTCATTTTCAATAGCTACGTTAAATTACCAGAGGGTAACTATGGTGAATGGATTGGTTTAGGGGAAAATTTAAACCCGGAAAACCCCCATATGAAAAATGGTAAAAACACCCATGGGTTTCCGGTTTCAATTTTCCCGACTAAACCAATCCATTGATATGGGGAATCCAAGGGTTCCAGGTTTCCAACTGTTCCTTTCCCAACATTTTGATAAGTTTCCAAGTTGGGGAATCCAATTTTTCCAACATTTTCAACTTTTCCAACTTATCAACTTGGAAATTGATCAACAGTTGGAAACCTGGAAATAAGAAGAGACGTATCATCCATTGCTAAATCGTTTTGGGGGAATGGGGATCAACATGCTTGGGTTTTAGCACGGGGAATTCAGTTGTTTTTTTCCAAGTGTAGCAACCCCCAAATAGATCGAACAGTTGGGAAACCTGGATTTTATGGGGAAATCATCATCTAACACATGCTGGAAACACATTTTTCGATCTTTTTGGGGACATAATATATATATATTATATGTCCCCAATTATCTATATATTATATATTCTATGTTTTTTTGGGGACTTTATATTTTTTTTTAGTTGGATTCAATCCAACTTTTCAAGGTCAAGCTCTTTCTGCTTGTGATGGGCTCACCGGGATTCCCATTGAACTGCCAAAGGGGTCCACTTGGAAACCCCTGGATGTGAGAAAATGAGCCCTATCATCCCATCATACCCCAATCCCAACATCCCACTATGATTTGATGTTGATGTGATTAGAATCCTAGGATTCTCCCATGTTTTCTTTTTTTTTTTCTGGGTATTAATAGGTGTTTGATTTACCTTTTTCTGTGTATATCCCTCATTTAAGTGGGTTTGTTGGTGTTGGAACTCCATCGATTGTTCAGTTCCATTCTGGAGGTTATGGATCATGCTGTTGCTGCTGGCACCTGGTGCGCCTGAGGACGCCAATAGGTGCGGGCTCGCCTTTGCATGTCTGGTAGCTGGTTGATTCAACAACAGCAGATTTTTGAGGTCGAAATGGATATGAATTGTGAGTTGGAAATTATGAAAACCACTAGAACTGGATGTTTTTATACAGAAACAATCATGAATATGGTGGGTTCCTGGGTACATACTCCAATTGATTGACCCATCTCCAAATAGGTGAAGTGGACAGGGCGGGGAATTTTGATCCATCTCCGCTGGTGAAATCTCCCTTATTGGTCGGTTGTACCCTCTGGTTATGTCAAAATAGCTATTGAAAATCATCATTTATAGTGAGTTTTCCCATTAAACATTGTGATTTTCCATAGTTTTTTGTATGTTTACCAGAGGGTATCTCCAACGTTTTGTTGGTTCAATGTCCCTTCTGACTGCTGATTTTCGTAAAGTTCTGGGTCGCTCGTTTGGCCATCTTGACGAGGTGCGCGACCTTAGTGGCCTCCAGCTGTATCGACTTGCGATATGAAGTGGGACGCCCCAGTGCTGAAGAGCAAACAGTACCGTTTCTAAATCGAATATTTCTGAGAAGAACCAATCTCTTGTTGGAAAATCATCTACAAATAGATGATCCAAACCTGAATCCTGATGGCTGTTAGTTTCCACATCCGCAGCTTTAGGTTCCGAATCTGCTCTTCATCAGAATCAGAAATGGAAAAAACAATGGGAGATTTCCAGGTGTCGGATCACCAAAGGGTACAGTAAATGGAACGCTACAGCGTAAATAGCGACTTTCAGAGGTCTAGGAGGAGCCTCTGGGAATTTTCGGAGAGATGGAGTTCTCTCAATTTACCAAATCCCATGGTTTTAGTGGAAAACCTCTAGCATCGAGTGTGGTTTATCAATGTTTATTGCTGTCATCCATGTGAGGACTGAAAATCGGGTAAATTGGATGGTTCATGAAGTTCAGAATCACTAAAGTTACGATCATCTGTATGGTTTTTTTCCTGATTTTAACTTTTGACCTATACGCATCATGGTCTATTTCACCGCTGTATATCCAATGGGCCGGTAAGTTGATGTCCAAAGCTGAAACACCCTGGGGCCCTGATTTTTTCCGATGAATTGAAAGACATTTTGTTTCTGGGATTGATCTTCATCCTTCCAAAAGCATTTTTTATTCGAGAATCCCTACACCACAGCTGCTTTCTTAGATCCCTTTGATGCCGAGAAAACTGGAAAATTGGATGCACAACAGTGGGCTATCCATCCAATTCTTGAATCGTTTTTTTTGGGCGATTCTGAACTTCATCAAGCATCTGGGTAGATAAGGACCTCATTGGAATGATGGTTAGTACTAATAACTATCCCAAAATGGTCCAACCATTTTAGGCTAGTGAAATGTTATGATTCTGTTATATATAATTGTATATAATTATTATCCCAGCTATTTTCATCTGTTATAATACCATTTATTTTAGGTACCACAGTTTATATCCCAGAACCATCCACTTTTGGGTTCCGAAACTTTGCGGAAATTGCTGGCCAATGCCATTGGTTCTCCCAGGTCATGGATGCCTTGAATCGGCAAGCCGACTTGAGTCACTTGGTGTTGGAGATGGGAATCCAAGAACTACACGGGGAAAATCGACAAAAAAGTCGGATTTTCCAGCATCATTTAGCAGATTTTAACAAAAAAGTGGGACTTGATCGACATCAGTTGGGATTTGTGGATTTGCCGAAGGAACACACAGCGATTGACCGTGATTTACGGTAAAGTAACATTGGGTTCACAAAGAAGGAGGATTCACCTCAAAAGAACGGGAGTCTACCCAACAGACATTGGGATGAAGTCAAGAAAGTGAGAATTTATCCAACAAACACTGCGGAGTCTGCCAAAAGAAATGGGATATTTGAACAGCAAACACAAAACTGATATGACTGAGCCAAATGCTTTGCACCTGTTGATGACCCGTTTTATGACATCATAAGTGGTGGGGACAGCAAATCACATTTTTCCTTGCTTCGTTTGCTTTGTTTGTTGGTGAAATAACACTTTTTTTCTAGATCGTTTTTGGTCGATTCCCCTGTCATTTTCCTATGAAAAACCATGGGTTTCCAGTGTCATATGTCCTCCTTCCCGGCTGAGATTCAGATTCGGCTTTGCCCCAAAAAACAGGCTTTCACGGGGGATAGCACCTGGAATCAACCGGATTGGCGCTACCCAACAAGGACATGGTTTCACAGGGAAGAGGATCAACCACTGCATGAATGATGTCATGGCCGAATAATACCACCCGATTCATGGCCGAATAATACCACCCGATTCAACAAGCAGGAGTCCAGATTAGGGTTGACATTATGAGCATCGGTCCATTGGTGCATATCAAGCAAAACATGTATCATTCAGTTCCTGGCCATATGCCAGGTTAGGATCCGATTGGTTTAGGCGGGAAAATCTTAGAAAATCTTCACCGGAAACCATGGTGTTTTTACCATTAAATATGGTGGGTTTCCGGTTAACATTTTCCCTGAAACCCATCCATCGCACAGGTGCCTCTCCGGTGCCCTTCTTCCGCCGATGTCGCTTCGGGACAGGGCGAGTTACGGGGGACTTGGGCGAGGAGGCTTACCTTCAAACGTGTATATGCTTGGGTTAAACCATGTGAAATCTTAGGATTTACCCAAGCAAAATGGGGATTTAACCAACAACTATGGGACTATGTCGCTGGATGTCAGTAACTTGACATGATCTGTGGGTGTGTCGGAAAATGGCGTATTTATCCCAGTAATTTGAAATTGGAAGATGATCGACCATCCCATGCGGGGGTACTGTACAATTCTTGGACGACAAGACCATTTGAGCATCAAAATCATATTTTTACTGTCAAACACAGGATTGAACCAACAAACATGGAAGATCAATCAGCAAAAAACGTATTTATCGTCAAAAATTGGATTTGACCAGTAAATATTAGGATCAAACCATCAAACATGGCGACGTAAATATGCAGGATATATGTTAACCACATCTGGTAAACACAACCATTAACGCATCTTCAGTTTATCAATTTGGATTTTATACATATTCAAAAACAACAGTAGGGTTTCATATTATTTCACCATTGTGTGCATGAGTCGTAAAACGGGATGGCGTAAATCAACTGGAAAGGTTTTCCAGAGTCGAAATCCAACATTTTTTCCAGCATCGGACTCTTCATTGCATGCTATAATTCCGGTTGAGTTGTTTGGCATAATCCCGCCGTCATTTTTCAATATCAATCTGGCAATGCATCGCCAACTGTATCAGAGATTCAAGATATTGCGAAGAAATTGAGTGGTTTCAAAGATTCATTGGCGCGATGGGGAAATTTCTCATCATGTTGGGGTCACATTTAGGGCATCTTGGTGATTTTTTTCATTGTCTCCTGAGAGTTTGACTAGGGGCAGCCAACCAATCAGTTGCGTGGGTTGACGGCGAATATCCAAAATCAATTTTGAAAGTTCTTTTTCGAACAATGTTGTAGACTGACTGAATCCCTTCCCCCTGATATCAATAAAACACACACACAACCCCAGCACTGGATCTAAAATTTTGGGTGCTGCTATTATTGAGGGTATGTAAGAGTAGAGGATGTGATTACATATTATGTTCGAAGCCAGTATCTCTCTTGGATTTTCTTAGTCAGCTCCCCTCGTATGATAGTATTTATGAACAATATAATCATAGACGAGGTTGCTGCCAAATTCTCTCCCCGGAGCTGCTAATGACTTCCGCAAACAAAGATCTCTGAAGCAGGAACCAGAATAGTATTGTCACCCTTTTTTTTCCACAATGATTTTGTAAATCTCCTCCTTTTTGGTGTTGAGTGGTTTTGTTGGTCCCAACGTCTTGCAACTTAACCCACAATTTCTTAGAATTGGTTACCGATTAGCAGCATGCTCACGAAACCTAAGATTGAGGCCCCTGCAAAAGCATTGGGTTAACTATCGGGCATAATTTTGGTGACAAATGGTAATAAACTCCATAAGTTGAGATATTGGGCCCCAACAAAAACTATGTATGGTTTATAGTTATATGGAGGTTTCCTTTCCTAAATTGGGAGTACCCCCAGTTATCATCCGCTTTCATAGGACTTTCCATTATCAACTATTCATTTTGGGGATTTCCCATTCATTTCTGGTGGTACCCCCAGTTATCATCCATTTATAGATGGATTTTCCATGAAATAAACCATTCATCCATTTTGGGTATCCCCCATTTTAGGACCCCCCAAATATGTCCACTTGGAACGCCACGACATCGCATCCGCCGCCGGCCACCTTGGGCTTCCAGACCTTGGACGCGGCGGACCATGGCTGTTCCCAGCGATATTTTTGCCCAAGAAAAAGTGAGAAATGGCGCACTTTGAAGTTTCTTGACTTCAACATTTTATGATTTCTGATGAACATTTCAGGCACTCACTGGTTGATATCAAAAAGACATTCTGAAGAGGTGCTTGAGCCGAATCCAAGTGTTGCGGTCATGGTGCATTATGAGGTGAGAGTCGGATGGCTGTGGGTCTGTGAACATCCCGATTTTGGGTATGAGTGAAAGACCTATCAGGAACCACAAAGTCTAGTAACTAGCAAAATTAAGTCAGCAATTAGACATCCAATTTTGGATATTTTTGAGTTTCCCCGTTTTGACTCAGCATCGTCAGGCCAGAAGATTGATCCCCCCAACATGGACCCTGAGAATCTAAACCCATGTGAGGATGTCATGGTACCATCATTGGTATAATGTTAGTTGGTACAATTAATGTTATGGTTTTACCACCAGTTGAGGTGGTGATGGTATTATGTAATGGTATAATAATGTAATGGTAAGGTCATCATGTTAGTTTGGGGGGATGGTTGATAGTTCATGATGATGAGACTGTTGAGAACAGATTATCATCCCATTAACCATGATCCTCACTAAACCATGATAAAACCAGTATGAACTATGAAGCATTAAAAAGAGCATTAAAATTGTTCGTTCAAATTCCCAATGTTATCTTCAGGTTATCGCCATTATTCTATCTGTGATAATATAGTCATTTCAAAACTTTCAATTACAACCTTTTGCAGGAGTCAGAACCACAATGCAAGCATTTTTATATTACCCTCTGGTAAACTTTTACATAACTATGGAAAATCACCATTTTCAATGGGAAAATCCACTATTTCTATGGCCATTTTCAATAGCTATTTTGACATAACCAGAGGGTATATAACTTAATAACCATGATTCACCAAGATACAGCCATCACGAATCATTGTTAACCATGATGTAATCTTGATATGCAAGCACAAAAAAGTATAATCATCATTGACTATTGAGACAACCACTAGAAAATATCACCACTATCAGCCGTTATTCACCATTATTATTATCCCATTGTTCAGACACCATTATTCATCGTGTTTTTTTGTGGAATATTCTTACCTGATTATCCCATGATTCCGTAAAGGTTCATCACTATCAATGATAATGTTGCCATTATGACTGAATAATTCTTAACCATGATGTAACCTTTATATATATATACATATAACCACTATAAACTATTGTCAGCCATTATTCACCACTATTAAGCACTATTAACCATTGTCAACCATTATTCCACATTATTCATCACTATTAACCACTATTAGCCACTATTAAGCCACTATTAACCTCTATTGATAACATCCACCATACAGCCAGGATGGCAGTTTTCACGTCTGCAGGTGGTCTCAGTGGCGGAGCTTGGTGGCGCCATGGTGCGTGAGGGCAAGAGTGGCTCGGCGCCTTCAGATGTGGCGAGGTGGAAGATGGTGGTTTTCTCCAGGGAAACATGGGGATTTTTTATGGCTTTATCCCAGCAAGATAAGGGATACCCTCTGGTAAATGTTTACATAACTATGGAAAATCACCATTTTTAACAGGAAAACTCACTATTTCTATGGCCATTTTCAATAGCTTTTTGTATGTTTACCAGAGGGTAGAATGGGAATTTGAATGGGAATTTGATTCAAACTTCATGGAACTCTAGGGAATTATTGGGGTTGAACCAACGCAAAATATAAGGGACGTAATGGGAGAATGGGATACAACCAACAAAAACCATGGTTCGAAATAGTCAAAGATGGGAGTTTAGTCAACGAAATATGGGATTCACATGATTTAAACAGCAAGAATAGGAGACATAATGGTATATACTGGCATACAATGGGATATAACAAAACAACCAAGATGTAAAAACCACCAGTTTACTTGGATGTGCATCCAAAGAATCGAAGTGGTCCCCCCTTCAGTCTGTCTATACCTAGAAGCATAGCCATTATACAGATTGTTCACCCTATAATCGCAAGTTGTTTGGTTCACCCGTAATTCTACCCTCCTGAATAAACTGGGGTGAAGGAACCCACCTCCAGAATTTTGCATTTTTTTAAAATCCACATCTAGAATCTAGACAGAGGGGTTTATTAATCATGTTGGTTGGCTATACATCCCATGAAATATCTACATGATTTTCATTCTCTAACCTCATTTTTGTTGGTTTAAATCCGCATAAATCACAATTTTTCGAAAATTAAATTCATTAAATCCATTTTTCTTGGTTAACTCCCCTCAACTGAGCTCCGACCTAGGTTTGAGCTCCCGCCTCGTGGCCCGACTGGGTGTAGGACCGCAAACCTTGCAGCCTCGCGGTGGTTAAAAAGTTGGCAAACTTCGCCAAGAAATGGGGAAGTCTCCAAGAATATGAGGGACAAAACGGGATAAATGTAAGAAACGATGATGTATACCCGTAATATCTCAAAAATATTGGCTATAAACTTGGTATACCCACGCCAAATTCAGACATAATTGTTGAAGATGCGGGAAACCTGGATGGAATACTTTTACCAACCAGCAAAAATCGGAATATACGAAATAAACATGTATCCATCAGAATTTGGAGAACTGGGGATGTGGGAGTTTCTTAAGTCATGCGGAGACCCCAAGTTGTCATGCAAGTTATTGGCCATTCTTGCTCGGAAACTCATGGTGAAATGTGGTGCCCAATTTGAAGAGACAGCTATTTGATGCTATTTGATTTCAGCAAAACGGGATTTACAGTATATACTACCATGACTACCCTCTGGTAAACTAACATAGCTATGGAAAATCACCATTTTCAATGGGTAAATCCACTATAAATGGCCATTTTCAATAGCTATGTTAAATTACCAGAGGGTAGGTGGTTCAGTCATAAGAATCATAGGGATTTAAGCAAGAAACGAATGTTGATGTCAGCCGTTTCAGCCAAGTTCAGAATGTTGGTTGAGTAATTTCACCAAGCAACATGAGGATTTCACCAAGAACCATGGCGAGACTCAGAGAGACTCGGCCATGAACAAAATTGTATTTTGAATCAAAAACAAGGTTGCGACCAACCAGGAGAAACAATGATCTCATCCAACAAACGGATGATAATAGTTCATAATAACTTCCCCCCAATTTCAAACATATCCAATCATAGGTCCTCAAAATGAATAGATAGAATACTCAACTAGGGTTTGGTTTGGATGATTTCACCAAGGAATTACTGGACTTAAATCCGCTTCTCTGGATACGCAAATGGAACATACAGGGATAGAAATCATGGGAAACTTGGAAACACTTAAAAAAAACCCATTTTGGCTGGTTATCCCTGTATGTTGCTTAATGGAACGGGAATACTTCCTCATTGCGAGGCGGCGTTTGGATCTTTAGCTTGGGCCCCTGCCAGGAGCTGTTGTGTCTGAGCTGGAACGGGTCGGGAACCCGGCTGGAGCGGCTGGCGATCTGGGGGTGGGGATGGATCAAAACTTATGGAAATAGCGTATACAAATGGGATTTATACCTATTTATATAGAATGATTTGGAATGATTGAGATGATCATCATTGATCCTCGCACTTATATAGAATCAAACGTGGCAAGCTGGGAAATCTACCCCAAAATGGAGCTTTGTAGCTAGGAAAATCATCCATGAATGGAGGATTTTAGGTTGCCACATTTGATTACTGGAGGGTAGAATGATCTAGATGTTGCTGCAATCGAGCGTGGGATTCAAAGTTGACCAACTATGTTGGAACTACACAACGAATCAACGAAAGATGGTACTGGGATCTTGATATTCCCCGGCGAAGCACGGTAATCAAGTTTTCTTGTTCAAATCTAAGGTTTAGCCATGAGAAACATACAATTCTTTCCGTGAGATTTATGAGGTTTAGATTAAGAATACTATAATTTTCATGAGAAATTCCATAAATACTATGAATTCCATAAATACTATTAATTCATTCCATAAGGTTCGGTTAAGTTTAACAATACTATGAATTCTATAAATCCCATGAGAAACTTAAACTCATCCTATTCGAGCTTTGTGTTCGTTCTTGGAATTGGAGTCTGAGGCTGGAGAGCGCTTGCGTTTCAAGAAGGTCTCAGGTGGGATTGGGACTTAACGTATGGGAAAAAACTTCTAATGGGGATATTTATATTATATAATTATTTATGTATAATATGTATTAATATGTATGTATATATATGTACAATATATATATATATATTATATATATATGTATAATAATATGTATATATGTACATACGGCAGGCAAAAAGGGGTCACTTTTGTTGATCTTGATTGAACATCAGCCATTGTTTTTAGGGTTAGATGGATAAACACCACACACATGTTTTTCTCCAAAAGATGAATCTCCTACTAAAAACAGAATCATCAACTGACTTATTGTCCAGTAACATATGGACAAGTCTCCGTTTAGTTCATGATTTTTCCCCATTGATATTCATATTTATAATGGATTTTCCCATATTTTCTCACATTTTCCCACGATTCTGCTGTATTTTCCCATGTTTGTCCATATTTTCGAGCTGATTTTCCCAGGATTTTCCCCGCAAACTAACCCTCCCAGGCAGCGGCCCTGAGAGCGGATGGGTCAGTCTGGCAGCTCAGATCCGGAGGTTTCCGGATGGTTTCGCCTCTGGTAAACATACAAAAAACCATTGAAAATGGCCCATAGAAATGGTTATATAAATCATGTTAAATCCATTTTTTTAAATGGAAAATCCGAAACTAAGACATCTAAAAATGGAACACATGGATAATTTTGGGGTAGATAAATCCATTTTAGCTATTGCAAATGGACCATAGAAATAGTTGATTTACCTAAACATGGTGATTTTCCAAAGTTTTTTGTTAGTTTACCAGAGGGTATTTCTAATGGAACATCTAAAAATAAAACATGGATGATTTGGGGGTAGCCTCATTTTAGGATGTCAAGTGATGTCAAGATAGGTAGATAGATAGATTCATAGATAGATAAATAGACAAAGAAGGAATAAATCTATGTATGAAGAAGTATATATCCATCCATTCATACCAAATATACTGTATATATATAATATATATACACTATATACACATATATATATATATATAGACACACATAAACAGTATATTGATCTGCAAATCCCTGTGGAAGATTCTTTGTTTAAAATTTCCAGAGCGAGGCGCTCGGCTGCTGGAACCCTGCGCCGCATCAAAGGCACCGAAATTTGCGCGGCCTGTGGCTGGTAACAAAAATCAACCGTGTTGTGGGGACATAACGGGATACCCGGCCTGGTAAAACATACAAAAAACTATGGAAAATAACCATTTTAATGGGAAAATCCACTATTTCTAAGGCCATTTTCAATAGCTAAGTTGGTGCACATAAGTCCAATAACTATGGTTTATATATAGGTGATCTATCTATAGTTAATGAGATTATAAACCATTTATAACTGGGGGGGGCACCACCTTGTAATGGGATAGAATCAATGGATATCATGGGATAAAGCACATAAAATGATATATGAGATTGTCCGATCATGGTGGATTTAAAACCAGTGAAAAGGCCATTTTTTTTAATGGGGGTTTTCATGATGATCCCTGGATTTTGAGGGTACAACATATTTTGAGACTAGTATATGTGTATGTGTATTTGTATCCGTAAACGCACATAGATGATGTTGTACAAGAGATATTCTATATGTCACACACAAACACAAACACATATATGGATCACACATGCCTAGATACATGCATATATTAATATACTGACCAGAATAGGGGATCACCAGCGATAGGCGTTTCACCCGAAATGACAAACACATTTGAGCAAATCTTGATGACCAGGCAAATTCGGGATACAAGAGGAATCTGCGAAAAAGAGTTTTCGAACAAACATCATGAGAAAACATCAAGCAATATACCCTCTGGTAAACGTCTACAGTTTGCGAACTTGAAGCCATGGCCATAGAAATAGTTGATTTACCCATAACAAATGGTGATTTTCCATAGTTTTTTGTATGTTTACCAGGCCGGGTATATCAAACACATTTCAGCGAAGCATTGGACCAACAAAACTGTGCGAATCGCAAGGGCCAACTCCACCAATCGGTGAGGGAGGAATATCAGCTGGATGTGACCAACAAAAACAGGAAACACTATTGGCATTTATGGACAGTGATGGTGGGAAGAGCACTACTTTGAATAATGTGAGTAAAACATGGTAAAATGTTTACCATCCCCCAGGAAAATCACCATAAATATATAGGTGGTATGTTTACCATTCCCAGGAAAATGGGTGGTTTATGACATTGTTTTACCCACATTAATCATCATTAGTCATCCATTAATCACCATTATTAACCATTATTAACCATTATTAACCAATATTAACCAATACTAACCATTACTAACCATTATTAACCCCTATTAACCAATATTAACCCATTAACCATGGATATTTACCCACATCATACCAGTTGAATTCTGACCCCACGATATCCGATATCGACCAACTTCACGGGTTCAGGAGTGGGGGACAGATTTGGCACTTTCACAAGACCCACTTGCGGCTTGCGTTCACACAAAATTCGGTTGGTTTCATCCTAAGGTTTTACCATTTTTTGTTGCTTACCCTCTGGTAAACTAACATAACTATGGAGAATCACCATGTTTAATGGGAAAATCCACTATAAATGGTCATTTTCAATAGCAAACTGTTTGTTTACCAGAGGGTACATCCCCATTTCTGGTTGGTTGCCACCTAGAATTCGGTCAAATAACATCCCTATTGTGGTGCTTGTGGCGGTCAAAAATTTTGGACCCGAACAAGTCCTCTGCTAATTCAACCTGGATTACAAATAGTAGGTGGTTCATGTCACCATTGTTGGTTTATTCTTCATTTCCCATTTCTGTTGGTTGAATTCCCAATTTCATAAATCACTACATTTAGAGATGACTCAATTAGATAGCCCCATTCCCCATTCTTAGACACCCCGTGCTATGGTTCCAGTCGTATGTCATTTCATCCCCCCTAAAAAACCATGGTTTCTAGGGTTTTTTTGATATGAACGGGGTAAGGGATTATTTTCAGACACACCCAAAAGTGGATTGTAGTTGGTTAAAACCATTATATATCTCACTAAACATCCCATTTATAGCCCATCTATCTTCGCATTTATAGTTGGGAAGAAGTATTTATCATGTAATCATACAATTGTTTATATACAGATATACATTATTATATCTCCCATTTATCCCCATTAATATCCATCAAATATCTGATTAATATTTCCATCATCCCATTCTTGATGGTCAATATCCCATTAATATCCTATAATCAATGGGAATTCCAGGATCCCTTAAAATGTCCAGTGATATAAAATATCCCATTCATATCCTATAACATATGGTTAATATCCCATTAATATCCTATTAATATCCTATAACATATGGTTTATATCCCATTAATATCCTATAAAATATCCTATAACATATGGTTAATATCCCATTAATATCCTATAACATATGGTTAATATCCCATTAATATCCCATTAATATCCTATAACATATGGTTAATATCCCATTAATATCCTATAACATATGGTTAATATCCCATTAATATCCCATTAATATCCTATAACATATGGTTAATATCCCATTAATATCCCATTAATATCCTATAACATATGGTTAATATCCCATTAATATCCTATAACATATGGTTAATATCCCATTAATATCCCATTAATATCCTATAACATATGGTTAATATCCCATTAATATCCTATAACATATGGTTAATATCCCATTAATATCCCATTAATATCCTATAACATATGGTTAATATCCCATTAATATCCTATAACATATGGTTAATATCCCATTATTATCCCATTAATATCCGATAAATTATCCCATTAATATATTCCCCATCTTCCGTCCACAAGCGGATGGCAGGCCGCTCCGGCGAGGTATCAGGCCGCGGATGTAGATGTGAGGTATGGTGGCCAGTGGTGGCCAGGTATCTCTCGTTCTTTTTTTTTCAGGGGTTCCAAGTTCCAAGTCAGATGTTCAGAGGTACTTATGGCACTAAAAATTGTTAATTACAGTTTTTGCTGATTGTAATTATGACTTTTTTTGGTAACAATAGGGAGATGTGTAACCACACGTAACTGCAAGTTCGAGGGGTCTTAGAGTGTAACAGTCGTACAGATAAATATGTACATGGCTCTGTGATCCATTGAAGTAATAAGCGGTGGAGTTTCAAACTGCGATGGGAATTCACTGCCCTTTTTATCAGGCAGTGATGGTTGGTGGACTATAAAGACCTGGGGGGCTACTACTAGGTTTCGTATGAAGTGTAGAGGAATCCATTCAATCTCGTTGACTTTGGTCCCCACTAGGGGATGGTAATTCCACCATCAATAGGGCTCAATAGGGCCCCAGTACCCTCTGAACATACAAAAAACTATTGAAAATTGCCATAGAAATAGTTGATTTACCCATTAAAAATGGTGATTTTCCCATCTGTTTTTTGTAAACGTTTACCAGGCCGGGTAAGCAACAAATCCTTAGGATTAACCCCATTCATTCCATGTCACAAGAAACCATGGGATCACGATAAAACCGTGGTGTTCACGTTTTCTTTGGCACGTGGTCCAAACGTTTTCCAACGGTCCTGTAGGTTCTATATCTGTCACAACTGTGTGATGGTTATGCGTTGGGATTAGGGATTGAGGTACCTACAGGTCTGCTAAATCCCCGTGTTTGTTAGGCAAATCACAATTTATTGTGCATTCAATCACAATTTCTGTAGTCAAATCACAATTCTTGTTGGTGCAATCCTTGTTTTTGCAGATACGATGCAATCACCATTTTTAGCGACATTTCAAAAACAACATGTGTCGCTTTGATCCATGTTCTCGTTGCTTCAATTCCACGTCGGTGCTGAGCCCAGGGGAAGAGCCTCTTGGTGCAAGCCGAGGCAAAAGTCCTGGACAAAGGCACCGTTCCGTAGACGGACCGGGGGTGAGTTTAGTTGGGATCTTTTTGGTACAGAAATAAATGGTTGGATTTAACCAAGAACTATTGGGATATCTATGGCATATAAAAGTTGAAATATATCGACCCCTGAGCCCCACCATGTATAGCATGTGCAGGTAGGTCTAGTAGAGGTATGCCTTAGCTATGAGTCCATCATACCCAAAGTAGATATCCCCGATATGTACAGCTGTAGCACTACCTATGTAGAAGCGTTACATAGGTAGAGTAGCCTTAGGTAGAGTTAGGTGTAGCCCCCAATTCTAACAACCACCTGAGTTGGGGTTTAGGTTATACGCTAACGACCCTATGGCTCAAGCGCCTACCAGAAAAGGCGTTTGTTTGTTGTTTGTATGCAGGGTTTGGCGGATTGGTACCCCACCTTTTGGGTTTCTGGTTCGACCCCCTGTTTCACTGGTTATCAGCCGTATCGGCTTTAGTTGGGGAACCTAATCCGTCAAACTTTGCTTAGGCCCTAACTTACTCGCACTTTTTCGCTGACATCTTTGCATGCCCTCAGGAGGGTCGGATAAGGTCGCTGCTGATTACAGCGCGACTTCAGAAACGCCAGTGCACGGAGACGAGGCGAGTGGTGAAGCAGGAAGCGTAGAGCAAACAGCTCCGTCTACTGCTGACCCACCAGCCGAAGGCTCCCGGAACTGGGCCGATCTTTCTGAGGTATTGGAGGCGACCGCGCTTTCTGGTGAAGCGGCATCTTCTGAGCTGGTACAGGTGAAGGAGGAGCCATTGGAGCTTCAAGAGGCACAGTCCCTAGGTGCAGTTCTTTCAACGATTGGCTTGCCAGAGGAGGTCGCCGACGATCCCGTCGCGACAGAAGAAACTGGGGTTGACACTTCACTTCAAGATCAGTCATTTTTGGAAACACCTTCTGATTTGGGTAACCCAGCAGAAGCTGCTTTCACGGACATTGATCGAGCAAAAGAAGAAGAAGTAGATCCTCAGCAAGAATCTTCAACTCTTCTGGAACAGGCCGAGTGCGAAGTTGATACAACAGTTTTTGCAGATCCAGCTGATTCTGCCGACATTGATTTCACAGGTGACGACACAACCGTAGTTGCTGAGGTTCCTGAGGCAGAGACCGGAGGTCTAACTGCCGACGCCGTTGCATCCGAAGCAGCCGTTGCATCCGACCCTGTGGTCGCTGACACATCCGGTGTCGCGACAGAGGCCAACACTAGTTGCCC